TGGCTAATCTACATATTTGACAAAGTTTGGAACTACTTTTCTAATGTGATTAAAACTGGATATGGTTAATAACTTAGGTAGCAGCTCCTCAACTTCAAGACAATCGAAGCATTTTATTGCTATGGGGCCGTAAAATTGTTAGCAATGATTCCTCCTCATCGAGTATTCTTGGATGTTCTTTCCAAAAGCTCGTCTCAATTATGTTACAGTGTTCAACAACTACTCTGTCATTTCCTGTTGGTCCATCCTGGGTTTAGAAGCAAAAAGTAAAAGTGAATACCCACTCCATCAGTTTGATCTTGTAATAGAAGTCAAAAACAATGGCACTTGTGTTGCAAATGAACTTATGTACCAAGTGTAGCTTCTGAATACGAAGAATACAGATGAGACCAGGAACAATTTAGATGAAAACATGCTCATTATGGAGTTAATTATCACATTAATGACAAGAACCAGAAAACACTTGTTAAGGTACTATACTTGTGTTGTTTATATTCACGACAGAACTTTTTTGAGCACACAGTTTATTATCCATATGGTGGTAGAAGCCTAAAACTAAAGGATACAGGCTTGATATATAATATCATCAAAAACAACATAAAGTACTTCAAGCAAACTTAGCATCTTCAGCAGAGAGAGAGAGAGAGATTTACTCTGTCCCGGAAAACAGAGGACCCCATCCGAAAGATAATTGGTAATGCATTGTAATCAATGCCAAACTTGGCAAGCAATTCATTTTTTTCTTGAGTTTGAGTACCCTGCAGAACAAAAGGGTGGTCATTGGACTATCAAGATTACTCTCAATAGTGAAACCTGCTTGTGTCTGATCAGAATGGGATGAGAGATATGCACTAACAGATCTAGTTAATCAAGGTCAAATCAACGCTAACAGTCTAAATTAAGGTGCATAGTTGACTTCTACAGAATCAAATTACAAAAAATATTCATTTACACTATTATGTGTCACAATCATGTGGATGAGAACTTTATCGTTAGTGATTGAGGCTTCAGTGCCGTTAGAGTTCACATAGTATGTCGGCCTATGCTTTTAACATAATCTCATCTTTGTGAAAATCTCAATTTCAATAACTGTGTTCCTCTAAGTGATAGCTTGAACAAAAATTTTAACTGTACCTTTCAAAAAACTTAAGTGCTTGCCATGTGCTAGGCTCAAATAAGGATACTGCAAAATCGAGAAGAAGCTTAAAGAAAAGACTAACTAAATGTATTTTCATTCAGCTTTCTGGCTATCAGAACTATAAGTGAAAAAATCACACCCTTAAACACAAAATGTGTGATGTCAACAAGTATACCAATACTTCACCACTACAGGCTGCAAGACTATTTTCTTCAAGGTGCACATGGCGTAAAAAAGATTATCCAGAAGATTTAGACAGCAAAATAATCCATAGAATCACATATTATAATAGATCATGCTACTTCATCTAAAAACAAGAGACCTGCGCCATAAATTAAGGAATGAGATACCACACCTTCAGAGAGCTTTGTGCTTCAGTTCTGGCCTTTCCAGACTTAACAAGCAGCCAGAAACAAGTATTGTACTGATTATTTATGTGACCTACAAGTCAATATATTGACATAACATTTTTAAAATGATACAATTCATTCTTTAGCCTGCCAGCAAGAAGAATAGGTCATAAAAACCCAAATTTCTTCATATAACCTGATTAATTTGCTTGAAATTCTTAACTAACAAATAAAATAGGGAGTACTTATAATCAACTTGTCTCCAGGCCAAGAAATCTCAAAGACTCTCAGATGATGGATAGCAAACAGATCGTCCATCAAAATAAGGTGGTTCTTTAAACTCTTTCTTATGAAAAAACTCTTTCCACTTCATCACATACATGGAAGAGAAAAGAGATACAACGGCAGAGACGATTTCACTGAAATGATGATCATAAGAGCAAGTCAATATAACTACATCAAATATAACCAACAAAAATGTCAATATAAAAACATTATGTAAACTAGTTGAGGACGGCCCTAATACAGTTGCCAAATAGACTCTACCCTGAAACTTAACCAAATTAATGAAAAAGCTTTGAGAAATCGTTGTATGTAAGAGATTTACTAAAAATGCAAAATATTCTAGAAGGGAAATTCCACCATTCAGATAAGCAAGCATTTTATAGGACACATTCTGACAAAACTAGCATTGCGCACAAGAAATGAATTTGCAGGATCTTTTAGCATGTTGTTCACAGATAATTGCACTATGTTCTTGCAGGTTGGCAACTGCAGCTGAGTGGTGTCAAAATAATCTACATGCATCATGGATTTTAGAAACAGGAAGAAGAATTTGATTTTGACCTTGAATTGGTTCCCTCTTAATATGTGGTTTTAGCTAAACACTCCACTTACCTAGGAACTTAAGAATGGTGATGAAAGAGTTACCTTGACCACCTCTGATACAATAGAGAATCTTTCTTCAAAACAAAGCTGAAAGAAAAATTGATCTCTCAAGAAAAAAGATAACAGGAAAAGGAAGAGATATGTTAAAAGTGAATCAAAGATGTTAAATGAACTAATACATGTATTCATCACTCACCCCATATGCAAACATAATATCCTTAAACATCTCCAGCAAAGAAACCGCACAAGAGTTCATAAGTTTCAGTGTCTGCTCATCATTTGACTTCTGAAAGCCATTATCTTCACAAAACCTACAGTGGATCCCATCAAGATCATGAAACCAGCAAGTCCAAATTAGATTTCTCAAATTACATGCTCAGTATTTGACATGACTTTATACTTGTGAAATTACACACACACACACACACATATATATACATATATATATTTTATTTTATTTACAAACGTGTGTGCATATATTACAACCATGCACTTGTGTCTGACATTTTTTATGGATCTGGAATGTTTTGTACAACTTCACTGTTGTTTCCAGGTCATAATAGAAAATTAACTTGGGAAATTCTTGGAGTTTCTTCTTTAATCCGGAGGTAGAAATCCACAGACTTGATAAAGAAAATAGGCATATAAGAAAAACCAGCTCCCACTGAAACATGGATTATATTATCCAGAAAATGCATATTACCTACAAAATTTTATGCTTGATGAAAATAAGAAGCAAGAATAATGCCACATCATTTTGACATGAAACGTGAGATTTGAAGCAAAAAGAATAATTCAATCTAAAGAGCATCACAGTCAAGAGAAAAGGTATCAACTGGAAAAGGGGAAAAGAAAGAGACAAGCACAATTACATATCAACAAAGAATGATATCAACACCTCTTGGTAAGTCGAGCAAAAGGTCATCAAAGAGTAAAGAGAAGACCAATCGGCAGAAATAAAGGCATAAATTACCTGTGGAAATGACAACCGTCTACCCGGACTACAATCCAAGTAGATAACATCAACCTGCTTTCAAATTGGAAAGACCTCAAATACTCGGGTTTAATCTTGTTAATCCCTTCAGCGAGCGAACCAAGTTCCTCGGTAAGGCATGTGTAGTTATTCCAGAATCTTTTTGTTGCTACATTTTCTGAGTGAACTATGACCGCTTTCTTCCTTGGTCTTTTAACAAGAGTGCCATCTTCACGGTATTTCACAATATCGTCCACCTGTGTTAAAAAGGGATAATATAAATTGTCAAAGTGGACATGAAGATGCATGATATGAAGTACCCATGTATAGTGATGAGCAAACTGCATCGCATATACCTCATTCTCTTCCCTTTCTACTCCTATAGGTTGGGGTAAGAGTTCATTGGTTAAGCATAGAGCTTGTGTCAGTCTTTTTGTGATTGAGAGGAAAAATCTAAACATGAAAAGAATGTCTACTCGTCGCAAAAGAGTCCTTTAATGGACATGCCAATTTTATATCAAAAATATAAGAGTTACATATAACTGCTCCACGAAAAGGCACAACAATAAGATGACCTCAACAAGGCTCAGACTGTGGAGTTCAATTACTACTACTCTTACCCATTTTTAGGAGTGCCATTTAACTGTATGAGTACACAAACATTTTAATTTCAAGTCAAAGAACTTGCTAAATTCTACAAAAAAAAACATTTCTCTAAAATTATAGGGCTAGGTTTTGCTTTCTAGTTTACTTTTTGCAAGAAAGAAAGAGAAGAATTTAGAACAAAAAGAGAGAGTGTGTGCGGTCCTTAGGGGAAGTTTGTTAACAAAGACGGACAAAAACAGAAGTGTCCGCCCTTTTTCCCTCTTTCGTTCGAAAAGTCATCAAAACCATTTCTTCTGCCTCAAAATTTTTAATACTTAATCATTCTTCAAAAAAATTCCTACAACCAATCTTCCAAAACAGAAAACCACACACATCAATTGTTTTCAAAACCGTGTTTTTCATATCCAAATGCCATATTTATTTATCTTTCAAATCTAAAAACCAAAAAACGGGATAGTGACACATGCACCACATGCATATACCAATATATACTCTTCTAGGAGAAGGGGGATGAAGGTAGCTACCTTTATCTTGATGGCACAAGACCCTTGACGAAAAATCTGTGGAAGGTCCTTTGTAGTTGATACCAAACTGCTGAAAAAGTAATTCATTTTGCTCCTGCTTTTGTGTTCCCTGCTTTTGTCAGAACACTATTAAGCCTCAAGTCTAGGGTTCTTTGAGTCCAACCATAAATTTGAAAATGATTGTTTAAATGCCTTCAAAAGTAAGTAGATCCAAAATATAAAAAAATGCAGTTAATCCAGCCATGGCCCAAGCTATTATTGCGAAAATTGGTGAAGGCAACCATCAATCATTAAGAATATCATCGCTGGACCAAAAACAAGCAAGATGAAAAAGTGTTAGGGTAGAAAGAAAATTTTCCCTAGAGCACCGTTATGATACAAGAAGAGAACCTAAGGGGAAAGAAGATATAAACAACTAGGGAGGTCATAATTCATCTCTAACGATATTGTGGAGCACATCACATATCTATATATGAGAATTGCCTGATTGAAAGCATATTAGACAAGGCAGACTCAAATTCCAACAGAAGTGGAAAAAGGCTTAAAGATTGGAAAATGTTTTTGTACATTCTTTAAGTACAGATAGAGCACCCAAGGGTGTGGCTTAGTAGTCAATGAAGTGGATTGAGAACCATGAGGTCTCAGGTTCAAACGTTCAAACCCCAGTAGATAAAAAACATCAGGTGATTTCTTCTCATCTGTCCTAGGCTCCTAGCCTTGGTGGTAGAGTTAATTGGTGCATGTTGCTAGTGAGAGGTGGCAGGTATCCTGTGAAATTAGTCGAGATACACGCTAGCTTTTCCCAGGCACCAGGGTTATCAAAACAAAAAGTACAGATAGAGAAAAAGACCTATATATCTTGTGACTTGACCTATAACTTAGAATCTTCACTCCAATCCAAAATTTGGCCCCAAGTTTACCATTAGTTAGCTTCAAGTTATTGTTGACACCCAATTTTGGACCTCCATATTATAGATTAATCATCGAGCTTCTTCAATTTTCAAACGATTTAAAATAATTAGTTTCACAAATTTTTCAAAAAAAATAAAAATAAAATAAAAATGTTTTGCAAGTTTTTAAATAGTCTATCAACTTTTATAAATTTTAATAATATATATGTTTTATATAATTATGTATGAAATAAGTATATCCAAAATATTCAAAAATCATCTCGAATGTATATTTTAGTATATTTTAAAGTGGTAGCTATAATTTTGAATTAATTAGCTTTTATGAAATTTGAAATATTTTTCGAGTTATTTTAAAAAAAAATAATAAATAAATATGTTTTTATAGTTATGTATATAATTAGTATATTTTTATTTGAAGTCGTCTCAAAAGGTTTTAGTTTTGCTTTAAATTTTGCCAATTAGTTTAATTAATTAATAGTTAATATTTTAAAATTGATTATTTTATCTTGATAAGATTAAGAAGCTCGTTAGTTAATTACATTAATTCGCCCTATTTTACTAGCCGAATTTACTAAATGAATTCAATATGGCTACATTCTTAATCCATTGGTTAACTTTGTAATGCAATTGATCGATTAAAATTGCAACTTATTAGCTAAAATCCTTTAACTCCATTTAAGAGACCAAGTTTTGGGCCTATTTTCCAGCAGCCCATACATTCTGCAACTCTTACAACAATAACCCAGGCCCAACACTCTTATTGCAAATAACCCAACATACAATACGCCATACAGTACCCGACCGACCCAGACCCGCGCTTCTTCTTCTTCAGCGAAACGACGCAGCAAGCAGAACAAACCCAGAAATCGCGCTGCAAAAATCTCATCCAACTACCCTGCAGAACCCATACCTTAGCAACCTAATCTATCACCTTCGTCGTCCCCTTTTCCCCCCTTTTCGAGGAAATCGCAGGCCTGCACAACAGCCCTCGCTGTTGCTTCGAAAAGAGAAGAAAAAAAAATTCAATTTTTTTTGAAATCCAACGAATTTCCCCCCTAAAAAGGCCCCAACTTCCCCTATAAATAAT